GGAACCTCCATTCTTGTAGGTATCTCCCAGCCAATCGGATCCCAGAGCGTGGAGGCCAGGAGCTGAAGGAATGAAATACATGAACGTAGATATGCACTTAGGTCCTTCCCCGATTAGGGAGAGTAAATTATCATAGTAATTGAGGATGGGGTGGAACCTGGATCAGGGGACCGCTGTGAGCTAAACCATATCCTTCCAAAATTTGTAAATTAAGCCCTAACCTTCCCCACCTCCATTCCAGTAAGCCGGTATTTGGAGATGGGATCTTTGATAGGTCGTTGGGTTTAGATGAGGTCATAAGGGTGGGGCCCCATAGTAAGATTAGTGCCCTTTTTAAGACAAAGAAGAGAACAGAGCTCTCCCACTTTCTCCGCCTTGTGAAGACACAGCAAGAAAGTAGCCATCATCTACACGCCGTGGGGGGGAGCCTTCCCCAAGAGCTGAAAAGGCCAACACCTTGATCTGGGACTTCCCAGCCTCCGGAACGGGGAGAAATAAATTTCCGTGGTATTTTGTTATGGCAGGCTGAGCTGACTGGACAGGGACCTGGGGCCTCTCTATTTTTATTTTCCAATGGAGATTAATAAACCATTTCTATCTAGTCTACGGTTCCCCTTTTTCCATCTTTAAAACAGAACAAAATGAAAGGAGAATGCCATTAATCATTTACTGGGAGCCGTGTTTCAAGGCAATTAGGTGTCTGCGTTCCCTTCGGGGGAGCGGAGATGGCCCTGCTGAAACTCTCTGCTCTGGGGGGGCCCTTGTCCAGCCCCCTCCCTTTGGAAACCCCGAGAGCTGCCTGGGAGGAATAAAATGCAGGGGGGGGGGGTGGTAAGGAGCATTTTGCCCTGAAACCCCATCATTGAAAGGCCACTTCAATCCTGACTCTTTCTTTTATTTTTAAATAAATACACTTTTTATTGATTTCAGGGAGGAAGAGAGAGGGAGAGGGAGAAACATCAATGAGGAGAGAGAATCATGGATCAGCTGCCTCCTACACGCCCCACCCTGGGGATTGAGCCCACAACCCAGGTATGTGCCCTGACCCAGAATCAAACTGTGACCTCCTGGTCCATCGGTCGATGCTCAACCGCTGAGCCACACCAGCTGGGCCTGACTCTTTTTCTAGCCTCTCTTTCATCTTCCTTCCAGACTGAGTCACGTCCAATCCTTTCCCCTTCTTGATGATCACACGTTCTGCCTCCTCATCCTCAGCAAAGGAACCAGGGAGTGGGCATCGGGGCGGAGGGCCGCTGCTGGCACAGGTTGGGAAGCCGGGGACAGGGGGCGAGGGTGTGGGGATAGGATGGGCACAGGAAGTGGACACACGTGTCTGTGCCACTGCCGCCAGCCTGGCCCCTGCCGGCGACTCCCAGGCCTGACCCTGAGGCGGGACGCTCTGTTCTGGCAGCTGTTGTACGGGAGGTGAAACACAGAAAAAGATATACAATAACCCCATTGAGAAGCTGATTCTGCCCTGCGCACCCTCTGGTGTCTGCGTGAGAAACAGGGCGGAGGACGGGTGTGCTGCTGCTAGGTCCTCGGGGTCAGGAGGAGCAGGGCCTTCTGTGATACCAGCAGGTCCATCCGCCGCCCTGGGTTTTGTGTTCTCACTCTTGCCTGGCATGTGGCGAGACGCACCGCCTGCCCTGAGCACCCCGGCAGAGCCCTGCAGCCTCGCTTTCTCTCCCATCGGCTCCGTGTGCAGGATGGGAGGCGGGAGAGCGGGCCTGTTGAAGTTCGGGGGGGGGGGGGGGGCGGATTTTGAACCAAATTGTCTGCCTGGAAGAGGAGAAGGAGGGAGGGGGAAGCAGACAGATCCAGGCCTTACCTTCTATTTGAAATGAACCGTGTTACTCTCTGCCCCTGCGCACCCCTTCCCCCCATTGCCCCACCCCGACACACACACACACCTGGAATTTCCAGGGTGAGATGTATGGTCAGGGCATCTCTAGGATGAAGAGCCTTCTACAAAGGGGGGAGAGGGAGATGGGGTAGAAATGAGGGAGAGACCCAGACCCTGCCCTCAGCTTCCCACGGGGGCTGTAGGCACAGTCTCAGAGCAGAGGGAGCAGGATTGCAACAGGGAGGCAGAGCGGAGCCTGAGAAAGCCACCCAGCCTCCCTCCCCCCAATATGGCACCCAACATAACTGCACCGACCACAGCCTCTAATTACCCGCGGGTGGCAGGGATGAGGTCATGGTGTCTGTGAGTAACTGCCAGTAATGAGCCCCTCTCCCCGAGGCAGGCTCCCTGCTCAGCCTCCGCCTGGGCCCCCGGGAACTCGGAAAAGAAGCAGCACCAGCGAGTCCCCGTCCTGAGCGTGTGCACTCCGGGCTGAGCCCAGGGAGGGCCTGAGCGTCCTCTCCTCCAGCCCACGGTGCTGTCTGCTCGGCTAACATGCTGGCACCCCTGGTCATTTCCAGCACAAAAAGCAACCTCCGCCCTCCCCGGAGCCCCTGGTTGGGCCCTGGCCCTGCCTTTTGGGGATTAAACCCCCAGAAGAAGGCGCTGGGCCTACCCCTGGTGGTGCAACCAACCGCGTCTCAACCTCACAAAGAGAAAAGCGCCTTCGGAGCCCGGAGAGCACTCCGCTCAGCCCCCTGGGAGTCTGGGATGGGACCGGAGGGGGATGGGACCCTCCGAGCCTTTGGGCAGTTGTGTGATGTGATTTCCCACCCTCTGAGGCCGGAGACTCAGCCTTCCTGCTGCTCTGCTGGCTGAAGAGGAGGACAGCTTCCTGGCAAATCGGCTCTCAGGCCCCCTCTGTGAGCAAAGAGTGAAACAGCAGCCCGTGGCCGCGGCTGCTCTGCAGGCTCTGGGGAGCCCTGAGCTCCCAGCCGCTGGTTAGAGCACCTGGGGGGGGGGGGGGGGAGTGGAAGGGGGCACAGAGCCTGAGGTCATAGCCGGGCATCCCTAAGCACCTGGCAATGGTGTGTAGCCACCAAGAGGCGGGAGGGCTGGCCACACCACCGAGGCCAGCTGTCCCCAGAAAAGCCCTCTCCTTACAGCCCGCCCACCCGCCAGCCAGCCAGAAGGGCTGGGCCTGGGATGGAGCACACACAGCTGGCCTCAGGGGGGACATCGCAAAGCGCTGTTTGAACGAGGTGACGGCAGAACCGCCGGGAAGGCAGGCAGGCTAGCTTCCTGCCCATTTTCAGGAAGTGCCCACAGTTGTTTTTCTGAGGCAGGCGGAATGAGCGATGGAAGTATGAGATGTTTGAGGAGGTGTGTCCATTCTGCAGGGCATGCCCTCTGGGGCAGACAGGGTCGCAGGGAGAGAGGAGGCAGCGCTGGGGCCAGAGGCGGCGGTTGGTCTCCGCGGGCAGGGCCCACTCCTCCCGGCACCTGGGCCGGCAGAGCGCCAGGGGCCCGGGGAAAGATGTGATTTCTTTTAAAACCAGAAGACATAAATGAAGTTTTCGTTGAAGAAAATATTTCAGCATGTAACATTAATATATTTGTCTGTATGCCAACGCTCATCCAATATTATATATATATAATTTTTTTTTATGGGAGAAGGAATTTTTTAAGGGAAGAGAACCATGCTGGTGCACAGGAAAGTTGAACTGGGCCCTGCAACCCGGAGCTGCATGGGGGTGCCGGCTGCCCACCCCTCTGGGCCGCAGGACAGGATACTCCCTGCCCCCTTCTGGGGCTGCCTTTTCCCTCCTGCCCTTTGCAGACAGAGCTCAGAAGAAAACAAAGACGGCATCGCTCTTGGCACCCGCGTCCCTGCTCGGCCATCTGTAAGTCCCCGCCTGCCTTTTGTCCGGCTCTCTGCCCCAGACTTTTGAAAGCCTGGCCCGGGGAGAAACTCTAGCCCACCAGCAGACGAACCCACTTTTCTCAGCAGACTCCCCACCTCTGTCCTCACCAGGAGAAGGGCGCTGGGTTCCTGGCTGCGGGAGGGAGTGGGGACCAGAGGAGGCCTGGGAGGGAGGCGTGCAGGAGGGCGGGGATGGGCAGAGCGGAGGGGCTGGGGCGCAGTCCTCCTTCTGGCGAGAGGCTGGCAGTGCTGCCCCCCCGGCGGGTCCCGGAGACACAGATGAAACGTGTGTGCGGGGCTCGCTCCCGGGCCTGGCGGGGGCCGCCGCCCCTCCTCCCCGCGCCGCGCAGGCGGCTCTCCAGCCGCGGCCACTGGGTAGCGCTCGGCCCTCCTCTCCGCGCCGCCGCCTCCGCCTCCCTCCGCCGCGCTCGTCCCCGGCTCCGCTGCCCCCGCAGCTCCGGCAGCTCGGGCAGCTCGGGCTCGGCGCAGGCGGGAGCCGTTCACCCCGGAGCCCGGGAAACGGAGGCGGCGGATCGGCAGCGGCGGCGGCGGCTGGCGAGGCCGGAGGCGGCGGGGCGGCCGAGGCCGCTGCTCCCGGAGCCGGCGCGGGTGGCGAGCGCCGGGCGGCGGAGGAGGCGCCGCGCCCCCGGAGCCGGGGCTGCCCGCCGGGTCCTCGGATCGTCTCGCCGGGCGCTCCGGGGCCAGGGCGCGGCGGCGGAGGGCGGACCGGCTCTCCATCCTCCCGGCGGCGGCGGGAGGCTCCGCGCGGGGCGGGCGCCGGCGGCCACAGCCCGGGTCCCCGCGCCCCGCGGCCGTGCCCGCCGCTCGGGTGCCGGCGCGGGGGGCTGCGCGCCGGCCGCGGGCCCCGCAAACTTTGCTGCCGCCCGGGTGCCGGGCCGAGGGCGCGCGCGGGCCCAGCGCCCCCCGGGGGGAAGGACCGAGAGTGCCCGGATTGAGCGCCGGGGCCGCGGAGCAGACAGACCGGGGGACGGCTGGGCCCCGGCAGATGCCGCCCGCGAAGTTGGAGAGAAGAAAACTTGAGCTCCGGGGAGATCCGGGCCGCGATGCCCGCCGCGCCCCCCGGGACCCGCGGCCCTGAAGGAGCCCCCGCGGCCGCCGCGCGCGGCTGCAGCCCGGCCCCCGGGGCCCGGCGCCCGGAGCCGCGGTGACTGCGCCGCCCGCAGGGACGACCCGGCAGCCAGGGGGCGGGAGCGGCGGGCGGGCGGGGGGCGGCAACGTGGCCGCGGGAGGAAGTTTCCGCAAGTTTGTCCTCTCATTGCGGGGCCCGGCCAGCGACCCGGCCGGCCGAGCTGCCCAGGCCTCCCCGCCGGGCAGGCGAAGTCGGAGTCGGGGAGGACGAAGGCGCCCCGAGTCCCAGAGCGACGCGGCTTTGTCGGCTTTGCTCTCTCTCTCTGCTCCCCCATCGCCTTCGGGGCGCGCCGCGAGGAGGCTCGAACTCGGACAGAAGAGGACTGGGAGGCTTCGGGGTCCCCGGGGCTGCCCCTCCCGGGCACAGACCGCCCCCCCCCCGGGCCAGAGAGCCACCTAGACTGTCTCCCCCCGGGACGATGGCGGGGTGCCGGACCCCCCGGGATTATAACGGTGCGGAGGACCCCCCACGCCCCCGCGCCCTGTGGGGGCTGCTGATCTGGACTCTGCTGGCCCTGCGCGGGATCCCCCCGGCCGGAGCGCAAGGTAGGAGGGCCGCCCCCACGCGGGGATGGATGGGGAGGGGGTGCGGGGCAGGGGGGGCAGGAGCTGCTGGCCTCGCGAGGGCCCCCTGGACACCCGGCTTCACCCTGGCAGAGCTCTCTCCAGGGAGTTCCGGGAGTTTGGGGGCTCTCCTTTGGGGCAGTGTTTCTGAGACTTGTGGTTTCCGAAGGAGGGGAGGTCAGGTCTGAGGAGGGAGGCTGGGAGGCTGCCTGGGGAAGCCTGAGAAGAGCCTTAGATGAGTTTTTTTTTTGGGGGGGGTTCGGCTACTCCCCACACCCGCTATGGGGTACCCCATTGGGCCCGCGAGGGAGGGGCTCAGCGCCCGGCTCTCCCCAGACCCTCAGGCTGGGCTCCCGGTTCCCGCTCGGTGTCAGAGGAGGGCAGGACCCTGCCTGGCAGGCGCCAGCGCCCCAGGGCCGGGGAGTGGCCAGGGAAGGCGGCGGGAAGGAGCCCAAGGCGGGTGCTGGGTGCCGGGTGGCAGCCCGGGAGGGAGGTGGACGGGCCTGGCCACGGATGGAGCCCGCGCCGGGCTGCCTGGCCGCCTGGCCAGCGGCTGGGGCTGGGGCTGGGGCTGGGGCTTCGGTTCGGGCTGGGAGCCCAGGGCCTGGTGCAACCTCGGACCCGCAAGGGGGAGGTGCCCAGCGAGTGTCTGAGGCCCCCCCTACCCTCCCCCTTAACCCACCCCCACCCCCCAGGCACAGGGCTCCTGCCCTGGCCTCAGCTCCACTGGCCGCTCAATTGTCTGCAGCCGCCGCTCTGACCCGGAGCAGCCTCGGTGGGCGGAGAAGGGCTGGTGGGCTTTGGGCGGGAGGATTAGGAAGGATGAGGAGGTGTGACCCACACTCCCCCCCCCCCAAGAGGGCGGGTGCCCCAATGTCCTCCCAGCCCCTGGCAGGTCCCAGAAGGAGGGGGCGGCTGCACCGGCGCTCCCTTGCTTTCGGGGTTCGCAGCGGCGCCTGCTGGGGGCGGAGGGAGACAAGCCTGGACTGAGCGCCAGGACTGGGGGCTTGGCTGCCCCTCTCTCCGGAGCCTGAGGGCGCCTAACCCTCCCCCCCCCCTTCCAGGCTGCTCACCTGCCCCTGCTGCGGCCTCCAGAGGGGCCCCTCTTACCTCTGGGGTTGCTGAACAGCGAGGGGGAGGGAGAGGGAGAATGGGGGGGGGTACCTCAGGGCACCCAGAGTCAACTCAGCGGGAGAGCCAAGATCAAAGAGATGAAAGTAATCAGCCCTCACGGGACAGAGGGGCGGGTTTTACAAGGTAATTTACGTTAAAGCACTTAGAAATGTTGTTAACGGGCCCTGCAAATGTAAGGTAATAAAAGTTATGATTATTTTTACGATCTTCATAAAATCTCCCAGCAAGCAGGACCTCAGAGGTCAGCGCATTCCGGGAGCCATTTAACAGATGGGAAGACTGAGGCTCCCGGGGCGTGAAGTGACTTGGACCAGGGCTGCGGGGAGATGTGGGGGCAGGGGCAGGGCAGGGTCCCAAGCCCCTCTGGCCCTGGTGCCAGGACCCTCCCGGGCTGGGATGGGTTGGTGGGGTCCCCGGAGGGCTGTGAGGCTGCTGGAAGAGGAGGGGGCCATCTCCCAGATTGGCTCTGAGATGCCAGGGGGGTTCCCAGCCGAAAACCAGGAAGGACTCGGAGCGGGGTGTCAGCCTCTGACTGGACACTTGAACTTCATCACTGCACAGACCCCGGCAATGGCAGATGTCCCTGGCCAGGTGGCCCCCTTGTTCCTGTCCCATCCAGGCCCAGGCCTGTAGACCTCCACCCCTGCCCCCTCCACCCCTGCCCCCTCCACTCCTGTCCCCTCCTCCCCTGTCCCCTCCACCCCATCTCCTTCTCCCCTGCCCCCTCCTCCCGAGGTCAGGATGCCAGCGTCCTGCTGGAGGCCAGGCCGCCTCCTGGCCCTGTGCCTCCTCGGGGAGGGGCGCGCCTGTCAGAGCCCTGAAGGTCCCTTTGATTGATTCACTCCCACTCCCTCCCTCCGCTCCTCCTGTTTGCCGCCCAGGTCCCCTGCGGCTCCATTTGTGTTCTCTGGTCTGAGAGAGTGTTTTCTACCCCCCTGAGCACCCTCCATCCTTTTGTAACCCCGGCTGCAAACTGTGCAGGGGCTTGTGGGAACTTGGTCCCAGCCCAGGTTTGGGGGCAATGCTGCATGTGAGTGGTGGTGGGGGGGTGGGGGAGGCGGGAGGGGCAGGGGCAAGCCAAGGACTGGGGGTGGGGGTGAGGGTGGGCGAGCTTTCTTATCTGCTTTGAGGCTAGAGAGTGGAGTGTCTCCTTAAGCGCTAACCCTTGGGGCGGCTGAGGCCACAGCCCCGGGTGTCCCTCTGAGCCCATGAGCGGCATTCTCCAATCATGGCACAGCGAGGGACCGAGCTGTGGTCCTCCCTGGGGCCAGGCCTCCCCTGGGTCACTGCCAGGCCTTCTGTAGCCCCAGCCTCATGTCCCCAGGGGCTGGCCCCGGGCGACATCACCTCCTCAGACCTCAGCCGCCACTGGGCCACTTTCCCTTCAGGCGGGTGTCACACAATTCACACTATTTCCCAGGCCCCGGGAGCGCGCGGAGGTGGAGAGAGCAGAGACCACCGGGGCGGGAGGGTTCGCCTGGCACACGGACGGTGCTGACGAAGGCGTCATCGTCGGTGTGATTATCAGTGTCTTCGCCCTCTAAGCCCAGGTCCACGGGGAGGGGCTCCGGGCTGCCCACCAGCCAGGCCTCGGATGCCTTTTTCTCCCTCGAGACCCTTCCTTCCCTTCCTTCGGTGGCCGCAGGGCTGTGTCTCACGTGGCTGTGTCTCACGTGGCTGTGTCTCACGTGGCCGTCCAGTCCCGGGCTCCACTCCCGCCGGCCTCGGGGGCCTTGGCCTTCGCAGCTTGGGTCCCGCGGGTGGGCATCCCGAGGAGGCTGGCAAGAGGGCGGTCGCTGCCCAGCCAGCTGGTCTAGAAGGTTCTTTCGGGAGCTCAGTGCCTGGGCGAGGGCACGGGAGGGAGTGTGAGCTGAGCGCTGAGTGAGCCAGGCCGCGGGGGCCCTGGGCGGAGGGGGGCAGCCCCGGCTCTGGAGGTCCGGAGGGAGAAAGTTGAGCGCGGCGAGCTAATCACAATGAAAAGCCAAACGGCACGCGGGGGAGCGGGATGAAGGTTTAATTACATGGTGTGGCGAGGCTGTAATTATTAATTACCGACAGCAAAAAATAACTTATTGATCAGGGCCTCTTGCTAATTACCACGAGGCCGAGTGTCATGCTTGCCGGGGCTCGGCTGGCTGGTGTCAAAAAGCCCCACGCGAGGGCCGGCCGGGGGCGTCCCCTGTTCCCCGTGTCCCCTTCTTCCGGGCCCGAGAGGGCGCTCTCCACCCCGCACCCCCAGGGTGCCCTTGGCTTCAGCTGGGAGGTTCTGGAACGGGCTGGCTGTGGTTCGAGGAGAGACACAGCGTGGTGCTGCTGTTCGCTCAGCACCTCCCTGCCCCAGCCGAACAGACTCAGGACCCCCGGCCAGGGTCCGAGCCTGCGCCTGCCTCAGAAACCCCCTCTTTCCTGCGTTTGCTCGGCAAACATTTATCGACCGCCTCTCCCCTCCGTCCTCTCTCTCCTGGAAGGCGGGCGGGGGGCTGGGAGCCCGGCTCCAGCAGGGAAGGGAGCTGGGAAGGGGGCCAAGTCCTCCAGAGCAGCCTCTGTTTGCACAGCCCGCACGGCCGGCTCTAAAGGGATGTGCTAAACGGCACCAGCATGCGCTTGACTTTGGTCCACGGGGCGGCCCGCGCTCCGTCCGTCCGCAGGGCTCACACGATGAATCCGAGCGTCTGACTCGAAAGGAACAGGAAACGCCACCACCCAGGGCTGTCCTCTGCCCACCAGCGTGGTGCAAGGCGCCGGTCGCCCGCTGTCTGCTTGGATGCCCCCGGTGACGGAGGCCTCACTACCTGGCGAGACAAGCTGGATGTGAGACAGCTGTGCTCGGGGTTGCTGAGGAAGCTGGCCTCCCTGGGGCGGGTGACCCCAGGGTTTGGCTGCCGTCGGAGGGGCCCTCTGATTGGTCGGAACCTCCCTCCCCATCCTTGTGACTCCCCGGACCTCGGGGAGGCAGGACACTGAGTTGGAATCGACGTGGGGCGTTAGGGTGCTGCCTGCGGGGTTTCCGGCCCGGCTCCCCCAGGGGCACGTTGCCGCCGCCTGCCTAACGCGGCAGGGATTAGTCATCCTAACGTGGGGCCTTCGGATGCCAATAACAGCACACAGGCCAGCGGCGCCCGCCGGCAGCGCCCCACGGCCTCCGGCGGAAAGGAAAACACGCCGGGCTGCCCAGACATCCTGGTCACTCCTGTCCTCCGCCCCCACTGGGAGGAGGCAGTGCCCGCTCAGTGGTGAGCTAAGGCTGTTTCCATCCGTAAGATGAGGAAATAGTTAAATGTAATTGTCTCTACCTTCTTCTTCTTCTTTTTTTTAAAATATATATTTTATTGATTTTTTTACAGAGAGGAAAGGAGAGGGATAGAGAGCTAGAAACATCGATGAGAGAGAAACATCGACCCGCTGCCTCCTGCATACCCCCTGCCGGGGATGTGCCTGCAACCAAGGTACATGCCCTTGACCAGAATCAAACCTGGGACCTTTCAGTCCGCAGACCGACGCTCTGTCCACTGAGCCAAACCGGTTTCGGCAAGTGTCTCTACGTTCTAAGAGTTGGGTGTGGTTTTTGGTTTTGTTCTATGTTAAGTGAGATTATCCCAGTCCCCTTTTAAATACTCTTACGTGTTTATAATGTGCTGGCCACAAGGTATGAGGGTGCCATCATCCACACCCCTTCCCTCCCCAACGTGTGGGTAAACTGAGGCTCAGCGTGATGAACCGCCCAAGACCCCTCGGCCAGAACGTTGAAAGGTCGGGATGTGAACCCAGGGCTCCATGGCCTCCACATGGGTCATCTTCTTGCGGGTCTGGGATGCCCTCAGCCTCACGCATCCGTCACTGGTGTGTCC